ACTGCACAGATGGCATTTTGGGTTATTTGCTGTCTGGAACGTCTGCCTACTTGTAGGGGCGTGGGAAAGTATCGTTTGGGGAGCGTTGACATGGTTAAGTGTGCAAAAGGTACCACTTTTAGTTGTAATATCACGTGCCAGGAAATACTGACATCATGATTCCGGTGCAGCGCGTAACAGCATTTGACGAGACGCAGGCTGCTGTTCATATGCACTACCGCATGCTCACCGGCACTAGCCGGCTCTGGTTGCTTCGGCTCAACTGTTTGTTTATCTCGGTCAGCGGCCGGCGGCGAGCCGCTGGTGATCCGCACGCCGGCCGGCGCCGAGACCACCTCGAAGATGAAGCAGATCCTGCGCGAGCTGGGCCGCCGGCCGCGGCCAGCGCCGCGCCCGCAAACTCTCCAACGCCGCCCAGCTCAAGCAGACCCAGGAGGGGGTCATCGATCTGGAAACGCCCGACAGCATCCTCACCCGAGTCCAGGTCAGGCGGCGCCGGCGTCACGGACAGCGCTGCGCGCAGCAGGGAGTGATGGAGACGGCGGGCGACAGCGCTGGCAGGCAGGGCTTGCTTCGGCTCAACTGTTTGTTATCTCGGTCAGCGGCCGGCGGCAAGCCGCTGGTGATCCGCACCGCCGGCATGGCGCCTAGGACCACCTCCAGTTTCTACTCGTGGTAGTTGGCATTATCTAATCTGCTTGTGGTTAGGCGAAGATGCATGGCGCTCGTTGGTTAGGCGAGGATATGTGGTTTGTGTAGGGAGATTTGTGATTGGACATATGGAGAATGTGTAATGGATGAGAACCTCTGCAGCATCGCAGAAAAAACGAAATAGTGAAGTGCGAGATAGTTGGTTAACAACATTGCCACGGTACGACTTGCGTGCTGGATAGCAGTGTTCAATGGCGAACGCGCGGACAGTGTGTCTTGACTTCGTCTGTGTCTGCGGTGCGATCTTCCACGCTCGGGCGCGGGTCTGTGTACGCACGGCTCACCGGCCGCCCGCGCCGCCCGCAGGTGAAGTCGCTGCTGAGCCGGTCGGCGTTCTGCCGGCTGCCGTCGCTGTACCAGCTGCAGCTGGCCAGGATGTTGCCCGACGCCGACGGCCCCAGCGGCTCGGACGGCACCATGAAGTGAGCCTCGTCTGCGGCCTGTGGTCGGGGACGGGCCGGGGCAGGGTCCGACACGGGCGTCGTTGGGCCGGCTCTGAGGCGCCCGGGGGCGGGGTCCGACACGGGCGCCGTTGGGCCGGCTCAGGCCGACAAACTCTTCCGGTGTTTTGGACGGCTGGTCCTAGCAGCGGACGCAATTTGTCGCTGCTGGACGTTTTACATGCACTAGGCGGTGCACGAACCGGCGAAATCTACCAATAGCCGGAGCTTCTCCAACCAGAGAGGCTTTACCATACTCTGGTGCAATCGCGCTTGGATCCGGGAACTTGTCGCTTGAAGTGTGACGTCCGTGCTAAGAACGCTTTGGGTCGACAGTCACTTCTGTCGCGTCCGATCCAATGGCGTCTGCGACTAGGCCTGGGGGGGGGGGGGGCGAGGGGGGGGAGGGCTATAACTGGACCGTGGGTCCTGTTCCAAAGACATTGCACTGTGATATGTACAAACTTAGAAATGGAGAAGGTGGATGTATTCGGGATTTGCCAATAGGGTTTCGTGGATGAAATTGCTGTTGAAATAGAATTGACCCGTATGCTCGTTTTGTGCCCATGGAGTTTCGCAGGTAAAGTTATCGATCCTGTCCAACTGTGATCCCAAGCATCAACTGTCATCCCAGATAATATAGTTATCGTATCATTTGAGCCCAAGCTGTTGAAGCATCGACCGACAGGTCTGGACACGCTGCTCCAGGTACGAGTACGATTCGTAGAATCACGTGAACTAACTCACCAACAATTACCAGTACGTAACTTCGCTTGTTCCTGCCCGCAGACTGGGCGGTGCGAGCCTGAACAACGAGTTTCTGGCGCGCGCGTGTCACCAGTGGCAGGAGAGGCTGCGCCAGGGCGAGTTCACGCACGAGAACCAGCACAAGTACCGCGCCGAGCTGGACATGATGCGGCGCCGGCTCGACCCCTGGAAGGTAGGTCGCCCGGTCAGGCTGCGCAGCATGCGCCGCCGGCTACGGGCGATACGCGGATACAGGAGGAACGGAGTGCAAGTATAGGTGTAATTTGGCCTCCATTCGCATCGTTGTTGGCGGGCCGTGGAATCTGAGCTCTGAACTTGGTGTGGTATAGCCATCTTAGCTACGTTTTCAGACGGTTGATCGAAACCTTGTGCGCCAAGTTTGTACATGTCAGACAGATGCATGTGTCGTATTGGGTACAGACCTTGTGCGCCAAGTTAACTCACGGGTAAGGTAGCAGCGAAGTGGCCATTTACCTTCCCGAAATGTGATCTGTATGGATGTGTCTAATATTAAGTTTTCAATATTTTGCTCACGTTTGCATGTCCTTCCCTTGTAAGCTTACATGCTCAAAGGGTCCAGTTTGCGTGCGCCAGGGGAGGGGGCGGGGGGGGGGGGGCACAGGCATGCTTTTTAAAGTCTTGCCGCCGGACACATGCATCTTAGCTGTACGGCATAACT